GGAGTTGGAGGAGGATGGGAGGGGGAGTTAAGGAAGGGATAAAGGAAAAGAGGGTCGTCATTGTGTCTTCAAGTGACCTCGTGACCATCCCTGCTGATTTGCACCGATTTATCACGTCAGAGGAAAATCTGACATAGAATCTAGATGTTAGTGCATCTTTTCGTTTGCTTTGTTTCCTCGTTTGGTTTGCAGTTTGAGTATTATACACATATTTTGAATTTAGAAGCACATCTCCAGTCTTAAGTTCTCATCCTTCTTTTTTTGTGTAGGTTACTATCTTGTAACACCTTGGGCACTTATGTGACCTAATTGTATTGCAAGTGTCGTAAAATTCTTACTAAAACATACTCCCCATACACGCACGCGCACTCATTCTGCTGTCTGACCAAGACCGCGAGCCATCAACACATTATCTGTTTGTGGGTCACGGGAGCAGAGGAGAGTAGCCCTATTTCCGGATGTTCACTTTCTCACGCTAAACTCCTATCCTTTTTGGGAGAGTAGGTTATTAGGGAGGTTAGTAGTAAAGGTTTCCACTGAGTTGCTATATAGGGGTAGAGATAAGGGTTGGATTATTGGCTGGAATCAGGGAATATTAAGATGAGGGGTCAGTTATAGGCAAAACCAAGCCCTTAACTTTTCACTGGGTGAATTATGCTGAAGTACGGAGTTCGATTCTTATTAACCCTATCCATACGTCCTGGGGTCTTTTTGTACCTCCACTCGTCACATTTTAGAATACTTCTAGATCTAGTGCGAAGATCTCTTTGAACCTTTCAGTATTTCTCAAAAAGAAACATTTTGACAGACTACTATACAAATCGCACGGATCGGATTAATGAGTATATTTCCTCTTTAAAAAGTGGTGGCACAGATTCCCCACGTCGTATGGATATGATAGTAAAGCATGACGTACGGATAGGGTTAACTGAATTGTTTTCCCAGACCCTCGTGGAATATTTCCCCATCAGCCAATTGTTCTGACAGAGAAACAGAATCCTTGTTTTTTTAAACATAATAAATTGTGCCTAGTAGAGCGATAAAACTGAAAAACACAAAGCTTTTCAAGGAAATAAACTATACACTGTCCTTTCAGAATGACAGGACACGAGCTAAAAACGAGCATACTAATTATCATGATTACTGGTTTTGTATTCAGGCTTCAAATTGTGTCACTAAAATAAGGTATGCTATTTGTAATAACTGTTACATTTTCTATTATGTATACTGCACGCTTATGACGATTTGTTACGTATTAGATTGTGGGGCTACAGATTATGGTGACGGTCTAATTAAACGGCAGGGTCGGAGAAATCTGTGATACTGAGACAGAGGGGGGGGGGGGTCCACTGTAGGCCGTATATGTGGGAGAGTTCTGGTTCGAATGTTGGGCGTAGAGCTCTATATCCAGAACCCCGTAGGCTACTTATAGGAATTTGATGAGTGATAATGTCACCACCACCAGTAATAAGCTTACTACAATTAATTGAGTTATTTATGTTAAACTGCGTCAAACCTTTTCATTATTCACTTATTTTAATCGTTGACAGTACATACGCCTAAGACAGAAAGTCATATATAAGCGGATTAACTTAGTACCACAGTCTCAAAATTCAGCAACGGTTACGACACTAACCAGCGGTTTTAGTCTTCCCTTTATTTTCATTCGTAAAATAAAACTCTCTATTATTCTGAAAGGCAAATTAGTATACTCACGTGTGGCAAACCTCCAATAGTCCTTTCAGTGGTAGAACAGAGATGAGATCCCACGAGAAGGAAGCACACACAAGCACACAGATACACACTTTGGCCCGCTCTTCCGTCCAGTCCTGCAATAGAAAACCAGCAGAAGAGGCTAAAGAAAAAGTCAGGAATGACAGCCAGTATTGTCTTCCCAGGTTCTAAGAAAATTCAAGGGCGAGAACTTGCAAAACACGAGTTGATCTCGGCAAGAGTTACGTTGCCTTGCGGCTGAGGAGGGTGACACCCCCTGGTCTCCACTCACTCCAGTGTCGCCGCCCCGCGGCACGAGCGGACACACGCGCGTGACTGTGGGTGAGCGCACCGCACGACCCGCCCGCCACCCGAACCGCCCCGCGCGCCACCCTTGATACCCCGCGCGCGGAGATGGGGGCGAGTCTGCGAGTATACAGTGAACGCCCCCTCCACCCCTCCCCCCCCCCTACCTCTCCCTCCATTCTCTACTCCTGAGCAGAATCAACAACGCTAAAAAAAAACGTACGTTATGGTCAGCTACGGTGATACTCGATAGAGTCGACAATCTGCCTGTAGCAATCTACTCTACCTTTACTCTTCGAAACTCTTTACAAACA